GATTATGAAAAGAAAAAATCAGTACCAAGTTTTGTGGATCGCATCTTTGGTGGTGAACTAACTAGTACAATCATGTGTGATGAATGCAGGACTGTAAGTGGATATAGTGTGGCCTGGATTTACTAACTAATATGCACTGAGTATAGTGTATCAGTTGTTCCTTTCAAAAACAAATGTCTAACTTCATAGAGTATTGTTTGTTGAACTGATTGAATGTATGTAATTCTTTGCTGGAAATATTAGCACTCCTAAAACCTTGAAGAAGTTATTTTAACATTTTAAATTATTTTCCATAATCTACAGTCTTCACGATTGTGTTAATTTTTTATTTTAACTTTTCATAGCCCTTTGTTTATTAGAATCCTTCCCCACCCCACCTCCCATACAGTATAATGTTTACTGTGAATTTCTACCTTCCTTTTACATTTGCTTTTTTGGTTGGTTAAGGTCTCCTTGGTTCATGAATCTTTCCTTGATTTGTCACTCCCAGTTTTAGATGATCAGGTAAGACTATGGGGTTTATTTTATTAAAACAGATTTTATTTTTTTGGACCGTGTTCAATTTTATGTGGGAAGCCTTGTTACCTTTTCCTATTTACATATTACTAGACTGTGGAGAAGATTTGATTAATCTGTTTGACATAAATGATTTTTAGGATTTGAATAAAAAAGCGGTTAGATTCATTTAGAAAAGAGGTTAATGTAGAAAAATAAAACAAGAAGATGATGTGTATAAAATTCTTCATAAGTAGTTAACTTATTTGTTTACATGTAATGATGTTTTCTCTCATATTACTATTTTCATTATTTAAGACTAACTACAAATCTTTTGCAGTTTTACGGGGATAAATATTAAATAGTAGTGTATCAGTTTTAAGCCAGATTAATTTGTTTCCTTTTAAGTAGTTGTAAGAAAAATAGAACATGCTTCCAGTATTGAATAAATTATTATTCAACCTCATATGAATTAGGAGCCTTTGCGCTGTTAGTGACTAATGTCTCACCAAACCTGATTTTTGTCTTTCTCTAAAATTATTATTTATATGCAAGGAAAGAAAAAAGGAATACATGAAGCATGATATATAAAAGGGTGTATTTGCAGTATGAAACAGCACGTATCTAATACAATTCAGTCTATTGTATTATACATTGCATTTAAAATTGGCTTTTTGCTGTTTTGCTTGGTCATTTTGCTGAGTGTGTAAAGGTTGCTGTCTAGTGTGTGGGCTAAATAAATTTGGTCCTAGGTACATGTTCAAATGTTGGGAAAATAAAACTGGTGTAAAATAGGAATAGAAGAAGCTTTGGATAACATGGGTTTTCTTTTCACCAAGTTGTAGTTGGAAAATTTTGCTTCTTTTGTTAAATTTTGCTTGTAACCCTTATTTTGTCCATATTTTAAGAGCATTAAGAAAAGTATAAATGATAAAAATCTGAAAAAGACAATGGAGGATGACAGTAAAGAGAGCGAAGAAGAAAAAGACAATGACAGTTAC